TCCTTTGCTTTTTCATTTGTTTTTGTTATGAAGGATTTTCTTGGCCAAAATTTGTACCCCTTGGTGGATCAGCTGGAGCATGAGCATTCAGCCAATGTAACAGGCATGCTTCTGGAGATGGACCCGGCAGAGGTTTTGCATTTGCTTGAATCACCAGATGCTTTGAAGGCAAAAGTTGCTGAGGCAATGAAGGTCTTAAGGAACGTTGTTCAGCAGCAATCTATCAGCCCAACTAACCAACTTACCTCTCTGTCCCTGAATGATAACCTAATTTTCTGAGTAAAGTTGATTCAAATTTGTGTGCATGTAGTGCTGAGGATACTTGTTTTGGTATTTAGAGTTGATTTTAGCATTACTTTGGTTATTGAAAGCATATTTGACTTCTCAATCTTTTTGTCTGTCCTTTGTGAGGATTGCTAAGATTCCATGAATTCTTTGTTATGGTTTCATTGGTGTGAAGACCATCATATGAGATACTTACGAGGACATTTTTTTTTTTTTTTTTTTTTATCTAAGCATGTTGCAGCTTGTCATTAGCAGTGTCAACTATTGTCCCATAGAGACTTGAAGCCTTAACCTCCAATGTGAGAAGGGGAGGTACACATCAGACACTTCGTGAAACGAGCATTATCACCATAGGGACTTGAAGCCTCAACCTCCATTGCAAGGGGGAGATACAGGTTAGACACTTTGTTATTCAGTTCTGTTGTCATTAGATACCTTCTATTTTGGCATGCAATAACGTTAAGTTATAGAGCATTCCCTTTGAGAACTATAAATTGTTAGTCCATCTGAACTGTATAAAACACTTATAAGCAAAAGACTATCAGCAACAAAAACAAACACTTATAGGAAGCGGAAAATGAGCAGTACTGTTTGAAAATTGCAACCTTCCTTGGTGTAATACTTGGGTAATGTTTGGGAGGGCTTTTGGGGACCCTAAAACAGGCTATTAAACTCAAGAAGCCTTTCGACATATAAAATGATTTGTTATGCACAGTAGTCAAATCTCCATCGTGCAACTGGCAACAGCATCAAACGCTAACAACCCAGCAATTCTAAACTAAGATTTGACGAAAAAGGGGAAGCCGCATGCGAAAAAAGCACTCTGCAGAAGTATTTAATAAACTATAGCTAATGGTGATACATTACTTGGATTGACTAAATAGGCCTGAGAATGGTTCCAAGACTTGGCCATGGTGGTTGAGAGCTTTAAACAACGGATCTAATTGCGATACAGAATTTTGGCTTATGTGGTTGTCAATTGACCTTAGATTCGTAGTGCGCACCATAAGCCTGATCTAGTTTTAAAAACTAAATAGGTAAAGGTGAGGAGAACAATTAATCCACAATTTTGAGGATGAGTGCTCCAATTGTTCAACACATCTCTGTGTATTTTATCAAATCACAATATACAGCAGATGAGGGAAAGAAACCCATTCATTTGTCACTGGGACTTAGCCATGCTCTCAATATATTACATCCAAAAGGGTCTGCTTTTCATCAAACCTCAAGCAGTGGATGATCATGCAGCCCACATCAAACCTATCTTGGAAATATTCAAAGTGTCTCTCTCTTTTGCTCTTGTTCATTTCTATTCGCTTGCTGGTCACCTATCCACGTTGTTCTGTATTTATCAATTACAATAACAGTCCCAGTGCCAAATTCATCTAGGTAGTTGTGGGCTTAACATTGTCAGGCATCCTTTCACCTAGTGATGTCCCTCTACTTGCCCAATCGTTCTTTGACCACGACAGGGCAATTAATCATGATGGTCACACCATGTCGCTGTTATCCATTCAGGTGACTCCAAAAGCTTATGATATTATCAAAGTGTATATTTACTTATAACCGACACATTAGCTATAAAACAATTTATTTAAAAAATTTAAACTGTTATAGAGAGTGTAACTTTTTTGTTATCTTCTAGTAGGTAACGGAGCTTGTTGATGGATCTGTATAGGATGTTCCATGAACCATGCTGTTGCAGATGGGACATCTTTATGGCAATTCTTTAAGGCCATGGTCAGAGATTTTAAAAGTATAAGGACATAACAATATTCCCATTTCCACCCACCAATTCACAAGCATATCAGCCTTCCCTTTTCCCACCATGATCAGTTCATTAGCAGACTGAAGCACCCCTGTTGAGGGGATAGAGTCCATAGCAAAAATCAAAGCCAAGGCCAATCCAGAATGCAAGTCCAACAACATCTACTCTTTGCAGGCCTTGTTGGTACATGTTTTGAGGTCCATGACACGGGTGTGCAGTCTACCATCTGACCAAAAAACCAGTTGTAGAATGGCCATTAATAATAGATCAAGATTGAGCCCAACATATCCTCGGGACTACTTTGGAAATTTAATTCGGTGAGAGGAATCGCCGCAGCTCGAGATCTGCTTGAATACAATCTTGGGTGGGCAACTTCACTATTGCATCAAGCTATGACTAATGACAATGCAATAAGGGAGTGGGGCATGGCTTCAGTCTCCCTTTATATACCAACTACGACAGTTCTTGGATCATTGCAGCGTTACAATGGAAAGCTCACCGCGGTTTGACATGTATGGGAATGACTTCAGATTGTGGAAAACAGTGGTAATTGATAGTGGATACGCGAACAAATTTAATGGGAAAGTGTCATTGTATCCCGGATATGAAGGCTGAGGAAGCATGGATTTGGAGTTGTGCCTTTTACAGTTTTACCAGATTCAATGACTGCTCATGAATCCGATGAGGAGTTCATGGAGGCCATCCTTTCATCTAATAATATGTACTAATTTGCAATTTGATGTTGAATGCTTCATTCTGCCTTATCACACTGATCATTGACTGAATAGTTTTATGTGAAATTACTTGATTTTGTCTTATTGGTATTGCTAGCATCTTTCCAATCTTGTTACTGTCATGGATAAGGTAGCTTCTTGTAGCTGTTTAAAAATTTAGAGTCCTGAGTAATGTTTCCAGTCAGCATATATGTTGTATATGGTGTGTGTGTGTGTGTAAAACCAGTTTGTAGTTTGATCTGCCACTTAGATGAGAAGAGCGATGCCTCAACTTCTTTCGTAGGCAAAAATGACTATGTAACTATTTACCAAGGCCTCGTGGTCTAGTGGTTTTTTTTTTTACCTTTCAAAATAGATGGTGGGGGTTCGAATCTTCAAATAAGCAAAGCGTGTGTGTGTTTGTGGCTAGTGGTAGGGCTGCAACTTGGGCGGGCTAACCCAGCCCAACCCAAGCCCAGCTCAGAAATTTTGAAATTGGGGCTTATATTCACAAATCGGGTTCATGTTCGGGTTGGGTTTTTTCAAAACCCGAACACATTCGGGTTGTGTGTGTTTGTGGCGCCCAGTGGTATCTCTTCTACCTCCTAAAGTAGATGGTAAGGTTCAAGTCTTTAAAAGAGCAAAATAGATGTATGAGTGGAGTATGTGAATTTTTTGCCAATGACAAAAAAATATATATAATAATAATAATAAGAAATAATTACAGTATTACAAAGGGCATTACCTCAAAGGGAAGCAAGGAAAAAGAAAGAAAGGGGAAATAAAAAACTACCAAGAAATTTGAAAAAGAATCAAAACAACAAGAAAGATAAAAGCCCAAACCCACAAAAAGGTGATCCGAATCAAAAAGTCAAGAAAGAAAATGGTTGGAAAACATATTTAAGAGGTTGAATATTCAACGATTATTGGGTGAGGCTTAGATCGTCAAAAGAAAAGATAATTGAATATTAATTTGTGTTTGGAGTAGCACAACGTGACCCAACTCAAATTCAAGAATATATATGTTATTGTGTTACAATATTACAATCCTCGTGTAACGGCTTGAGCGTGCACATGTCAAAAAAATTCAAATGCTTCCTTAAATTAAGTACTCATCAATGTTTGCGTTGAATATTTGTCTAAAGGAGAATGGGAATGGAAATGGAAAAGGAAAATTGAAATTTGTTCACACTAGACAAATGGGTGTGTTTGGTTTGGTGGTTTATTTGTTTATTTTCGTTTTTTCTTTTTTTAAAATATATAAATAAATAAATATATATATATATATATATATATATATATAATTTGCTCGGGAAGTAAAAAGTTATTGCCAATTTGTTTTTATTTTGCCTCGATTTCCACCTATTCATAGTCTTTTTTAAGGCTCTCTTTTCATCTAGAGGGCTCAATCCCCTTTCATCTAGAGAGGTTAATTTTAATGCATCTCCAAATAGATGCAGTCAAAATTCAACTTTCGATGAAAGAAAATGATTATCAAATTGACTTAATGTGATTATAACAATTATGTTATTATTCAAATCTTTCTAGGTGTTAAATAATAATAATAATAATCTCTCTTTCTCACCACCGAACAAAATTTATTACTTACTATTTATTTTTTATTTGTTAAAAAAAAAAATTCTCAACACAATCTCTGGAAGCCTTATCCAATTTAAGCTGTTGGCCTGATTTGAGGAAAAGACTCCCCTAATCCTTCTTCTTAAAATTTTGTTTTTCTTATTCTCCAAATAATTACATTTTAAAAAAAATTTATAAGTATCATTATAGGTTATTTATTTATTTAATATATAGTATCTCTAATTACAAGTGCTGCATTATTTTAGTAATTGAATTGTTTTTCATGTCTTGGAGTCAAGGAGTAAATAAACTAAAAATAAGTAAAGTACCCTGTCTAATGAAAAATATATTAAGTGAGCCGGACATAATAATTTCTCTTAACAATAAAAAATAATAAATTATTATTTTATATGGGTACCATATAATCGGTGTCTCCAATACCCCCAAACACGTTCTTCTATTATTTTTCTTACACAATTTTTCATAGTTTAAATAAGATGCTTTTATTGAATAACTAGTGTTATGAACATACAACCTTTTTTATTTGAAAACCTGAATTAGCTAGCTTAGCTTTGTTTTGACTCCAAAAAATATATATATAATAAATAAATAAATATTGTAAACCATTAAATTCACAAATCATAAACCTGGCTGAGGGCGGCATTGGCTCACACCAATGGAGTACGTACACCCGATCATGACCCAATAGAAACTCCTGAGAAACTTCAGCAACACGCTTCTGGAGGGTTTGTGCCCTATACAAAACCCTTCCCTCTCTCTCATTCCTCTCGCTCTCTTCCTCTCTCTAACTCACTCTGTTGCGAGAATCGAATGAACACCTTCCCAGTTTCATGGGAGATCCGAAGAATCCAAGACCGGCGTCGTTTTCACTCCCTCCCGGTTGCCGATTCTACCCCTCCGAAGACCAACTAGTCTGCTACTACCTTACTAGCAAGAACACCGATGATGGCCGATTCGGGTTCGATTATATTAGAGAAATTGATCTCTACGGTCACGACCCGTTCGATTTGCCCGAATCCGCTTGCTTCCGCTTCGGCCGTGGAGGGAGGAAGAGGCACTGGTACTGTTACACGGCTAGGGTTTCGAAGGAGAGAGGGAGGAGGAGAGCCGGTGGTGGGTACTGGAAGAGTAGTGGTAGGGTCAGGGATGTGGTGGGTGCCGGTGCAGGGAAGGTTGTGGTGGGGACGAGGAGGACTTTTGTGTTTTACTTGGGGAATTCACCCAAAACTGCTAAGCGGACCGATTTTGTTATGTATGAGTATGCCCTAATTGATCATCATGAGGTACTTCCTTCCATTGTTCTTCATTAATTTTTTGGTTTTATAATGTTGGATGGTGATTATTAATAGGAATTATGTGTATTAGGGTACAGTTTTGGGGTTAATTGTTTCAATTCTTATGAGGAGAAGTGAAATTCAATTAGTTTTGGGGAATCGTTTTTGGTTCTTTACTTTGATTAGCACAAAGATTTTGGTGATAATGTTGAATTGTGATTATTAGGAGGAATTATGTGTATTAGGGTCCAGTTTTGGGGCTAATTGTTTCCCTTTTTGTGAGTAGAAGTGAATTTCTATTAGTTTCTGGCAAATTGTTACGGAAATTCTCTTAAAATCATCATCTGGATATTGTAAGATTGATTGGTGAGGCATAAGAGATTGATTGTGAAGCATTTTTGTTTGAAGTTCTAAGTGGCTTTCTCTATCACTGATAAAAAAGGTCTTCCCTTTTGTGATTTCGAATAAATTAGTAAATGAAGTTGTGGCTGGTAGTGTGGATATGTGGTGTTTAGTTTCTCTCACTTCAATTCATTTCAGAAATGTATCCGGTTTTGAAATTTAATGTGTTTATTTGTGTTTTCCCCGCATTTCCCCTTAAAGAAATTTCATTATTAGCAAGTGTTCAATTAACTTGCCTTTGTTGATTTAATTTTCTGATCTTGGTGTGTTCTCAATATGAAAAAGGTATCCACTTTGTCAAGGGTAGGATCCTTACCTATGGTTTGCACTTCACTCTTTCGTGTTCAAAACGCTCAAATGAAGTTAAAAACTAAATGTATATTGAAAGACCAATTGAATCTTTCTTTTGCCTCTCGTACTTGCAATACATTGTTTTGACTTGTTACTTCATTAGATTTCTCTATGTGTATAATTCTCATCCTGACTTAAAACAAAGCCCTTGTCAATTTGTAAATAAAATTCATCCTCTCATCTGTCATAGATAGCATTAGTGGAGTCTGTTTCTTGGATTATGTTATGTTGATTATCAATTACACTGTACTTACCAATGGTTATTAGTTAGAAATTTGGGCAGAGTAATTCATCATCTGTCCCATAAATTTCCATACGTTATGGAGAACCTCATGTAAAAAAAAAGCAATCAAGTGTATGCATGAATACTCAGTAGGTGTTTGTGTGAGTTTTAGTATAATTAGAAGTCACATTTGCTCAATGAACCCTCCCGATGTGAAAAGCCTAGGTGAGGACCTGAGATGTAAAAGAGGAACCTCCAAGAGCGGTGAGGAAGAGGGAAAAGAATTGATCTCGATGGTCCCTGATCCAAGTTTGGGAGTTTTTTATTGGGTTGGTTTGGAAGCTCTTAATGCTAGTTCTCTCTGGGTTGTTGAATCCTTTGAATGATGCCTTAAGGTGTTCTTTTATACAACCTATCCATGGGCAAAGACCGCGGGCAAAGACAGCGGGCAATGGACTTAATCATCCGTTAAAAACGGGGACGTGTTAGAAGGCGGCCATAGAGAGAGTTGGATGTGACATTTTCTCATTGCTCGGCCATTGAGAGAGTTGGATGTGACATTTTCTCATTGCTCGAGACAGCTTGTCAGTTCAACAAAAGGTGTCCATTTATTGTAATGGTTGAGCCAAAAGATCTTCAATAAATGTGGGCCTTCCTCTTTTCTAGTGAAGGCCTAGGCTATTCTTTCTTTTCCTATGAGACAATTCCTCTTCCTATGTAATCCCTTGACACTCGAATTTAATTTGAGGTGGACGTCCGTGTTTATTCTGAAATGGAGGATAAATCGTTGACATGTAGTGGAGTGTTGGAGTCAGCCATGTGGTCACATCAAGACCTAGAGGTTGCAGTCTAGATACCTACCTCAGAAAGAAAGGAACAATCTTTGAATCAAGCTAAAAGTAATAATTTGTTTAATAAATTTCATGGAGAAGACTTGATGTAGCAAACACCATGCCAAGCAACTCATGAAAATTGAAGTCATGAAATCAAATTAATGATAACATCTTTAAGCAACAATAAGTGAAGGATTAGGCATTTGTTTAATAAATTTTATGGACAAGACTTGATATAACAAACACCATGCGAAACAGCGCATGGAAATGGAAGTCATGAAATCAAATTAAGGAAAACATCTTTAAGCAACAATAAGTGAAGGATTAGGCATTAATGTCTATAGGGACAAATTCTTGATTAAACCAACCATTAAGTCAGAAGTAAAAGTCGGATCAAATTTGAGGATTATGCAAATTAGGCATCTCAGTCCTTGAAAACTGTAGCGATTTAATAGAAAAGGAGATATGGAGTGGAGATGGCCATCTGTTAGCCCAATGGCTTTTGTGTTGAAGGATGAAGGTTTGGTTAAATCTCATCACATCACTAAATGTTACCCTCCGTGAGTAAGGAATAAGCACAAGCAACTATTGGAAAATTTTCATCCACCAAGAACCACAGATAAGAGAAGAGATACGTCGAGGAGAAAAGAACAGAAAAAAGAGTGGAAGAAGAAAAGGAAACAATTGTCACCTTGAGGGAAATACCCAACTTTCCACTCATAGGTGCTAGAATTAGGTATATAAACTAAGAATCCTAAGATCCTATGTTATCTCACTTTGGTAGTCATGCATCTAGCATGAACTATTTTAATGGATGTGAATACACCCACCCATCATGATGGCATTAGATATACACACACATTGAATAATTGAAACTTTATTATTAATTGTCCAAAATAAAATAAAATATAACAATCTATGCTACATCATGAAGCCTACCCCATATAATAGGAGCAGTTTATTTTCCACATGGAGTCTTGGGTTTTTATAGAAGACTAGCGACTGCCGTAAAACTGTGCATTTCTTATTAGATAATACTCCACAGCTCTTGATGTCCCCAAATTGGACGAGTAATATCCACTTTCCATCTCCCCGATTGAATAGATAGCTCCTGCAACACTTGCTTCATTCTCCGATTTAATAGATAGCTCCTGCAGCACTTGCTTCATTCTCTGCATTGAAAGGTGGCAGCTACATGTCAATATAAGCTCGACAAGAGATTGTGATTTAGCTGTTGCGAGCTCCTTGCTTTGAGCTAGTCCCATCCCTGTATAATAAGACATCAGTCTAGTCCCAGCGCTTGACAAATGGTATATTTTATTCGTGAGCTGTGACCTTTTATTCAAACTTTGTCCAAGGAAGTGTACTTGCTTGGGATAATATTTGTAATTTGATCTTCTTTAGATGGGAATACGGTCTGGTTTTGTTTTGTGTTCATAACTTTATGTCCTGCTTGTGATATCTTACTAGCATTTGGTTTAGATTAGAAACAAGTTAAAGCATCATGTCTTATGCCAATTAAGTTGCGCTTTCATCTTGAAAGTTTTGTGGCGGTAGTATTATTCTGTCCAATTGGGATTTGAAAAGGCACAAGCCACAAGGGGACATGGTGTTATTGGAATGGGGGCTGTTTCCATTGCCTTTTCATTTGTTTCTGTTATGAACAGTTTGATCTTTACTCTTGCAGGCTTCCTTTGTTCTATGCCGGATATTTGTTAAATCTCATGGTGTAAATAACATATCAGAGCATGGTCTAAGTTCTTGTGGTGAAGAAAGTGTTGCAACCGTACGTCACATTGGTATTCAGTATGATGGGACTGTGCATGATGACAATTCTGTTGAAAGGAAGAATGAGGTTTTGGGATTTCCAATGGGACTGGCTGATGAGCTTGATGACCGAGTTCCTGCTGAGGCTGTCGCTGTTGCCAGCTTTCAACTTCCTTCTAACACACAGCCTAATGAGCCGGTATTTTTATTTCACACATTTTCTCCTCTTAGATCAAAGATGATACTATCAAATTTATTTCTTTTTTGTATTTATTTCAAACATGGTAGCACGTCGTATCAATTCAAAATGCATATTTGTACGTCTTAGTACTGGCTTTGTTCAATGTGCATCATGCATGCTATTCGTATTCATTTGCTATGTTTATAGGGAACATATAAATACGATTTACATGTGCATGCTTTGAAAAGAGAATTTTTTTTTTTTTTTTTTTTTTTGTCTTTCGTTGTCCATTGCATAAGGTTTACTCATGCTAAAGATTTTTATTGAATTTGGAAGCAAGGTTTCAGTCTTTTACCTCACAGGCCTACACAATTTACATTTATCCTTGAATAGATGCTACATCTCAGCTTTGTGCATGCTTTCTTTGATCTGTTGTTGAAAGTTCCAGCTATTAGAGAAAATGAATATGATATAGATTTATTCTTCTCGCTTCTTGTACAAACCGCACACAATATATTTAACCATGTGGATTCCTTCTATTCCTCTGGATTGGGTAATGCACATATGACTTACCAAGAAAATTAATGAACACCTATTTTAGTATCTATAAACCAATCCCTCAATTTGTGTAAAATTGTAAGACATGCAGATTAGCGTAGCTTAGCATGCATGAAACCTAAATTTATATTTCTCCTCTATCTTAGCTCCGCTGGTTACCATGGTGTGGTGGATTATTTGCAGGTGATGTCATCTGGGCTTAGCGGCAATGGCACGGTGTTCATTGATGATTTGGCTACTCAGCAATTAATAGCCATTTTAGAAGAAGATTATATACAGTTGGATGATCTTTTATGCCCACTTTCGGGCATTGATAACACATGATAAATTTCAATGCTGAGGTTGAACTCATAGTTCAGAAACTATAGAAGAGGTTCAAAAACCTGAAATCCCCAATGGGACATTTAATGGAGCAACATAACTGTCAATTATGAAGTTACCAGTGATGTGGGGCATTCTTGTTCTGCCCATTAAGGTAGTCATTTGAAATTACTAACATTGTTAAGATTGTTCCGGTCAATCTTAATCAAGGAACAAATTAGTGACTTCCTCTTGTTTGTGTGTGCAGATTTCTTTTCGTGCCTTATTGCGGGCATTGTCTCTCCAATGAGATAAAGGGGAAGACGGAAACGTCGGGAAAAAAAATATTTATCGGTATCAACTGCATTGCCTGATTTGATCATCATACTTCGGCTGTTCTCTTGATGGTGGAGTTTTTACTCTAAACCACTTTGGTTATTGGGAAAGTCTCCTTTCCATTCCAACTCTCTAGTTTTTTCCTTGCTCGTATTTATCTCTGCTTAGCAAGACATTTCTTACTGTAGCTTGGTATTTTTCCACTTTCTGAATTTTCTTGTGTAGGAGCTTATAAGACATTATAAGATGGATGTTATAGTACATCTGGATGGTATGCTGAATTATGTGAGTTTTCATAATTCCTGAAGAAAATTATTTCCCGAATGGAAAATACCTATCATAATCATTTTAAAAAAAATTGTTATTTTGATTTTTGTGTATGTGCTGTGCGAGTGTGGTTGGCAAGTTTAGTTGAACTTGGATTATTGGTTACATCAAGTAGAGTTATAAATTGAATTCATTCTGGATTTGGATTGTTGGTAGTGTTCAATCCAAACATGGTTTGTTGTGGAACCTTCTGTCCAGTGTGAGCAAAGACCACGGCGCTTGTTTTTCAATGGTGGAAGCATGAGACCAATTTGAACATGGCACTTTAACTATAAATCCAGTGTGTGAGTGTGTGTGTGTGTGTGTGTGTGTGTTTGGGTTTAAAAATGTTTGTTTCCATTGATTAGAATGATATAAGTTGGTGCTGCTCTTTATAGTAACAGATGGTAGAGGTGGGGTGGGTTATACATCATTAAATCAGCATGTGATAAGGATTCATCATATTGATGTCTATGTCCTTTTCATCATTTTGCTTTACATTGAATTACCACACGACCTACTTCCAAGAGATTGAGAGAAAATTTAAGGATTCAGTCAATGATTGACAATCACTGTAAATCTTGTTTAAGTAGCTATAATAACATGGAGAGTCTTGCTCACTGAATAAGTTTTTTTTTTTTTTTTTAGACTCACAGCTACATATTAAATTTTTACATCTTTAGAATTTGGTTTTTACGTTTCGAGAAAAATTCAGTATTCAAACTCATATCAAATTCATAAAAATATTGTTCTTTATAGTTCCGTGAAAACAAAGTTCAAAAAGAATTTAGTATGATATTGAAAAAATAGTTTTCAGAAGCTAAATAAGCTTTTTGTACAATTTTGTGATAACTATTATCTCTCTTAAATTACTGTGTTAAGATAGTTCTGTAACACTGACCTTTTTTTTTTTTTTTTTAACAAAGTTTGAAAAAATAGTTTTCAGAACCTAAATAAGCTTTTTGTACAATTTTTTGATTTTGTTATAACTATTACCAGACTCTTAAATTTTCAAAAACCTCTATGTCAAATAAATTAGGAATAATATCACTTACTTCGCTTGAAGTTATGTCTAATTACACACAGTACCTTCAATGTTTCAAAAATTACAGTGACCTCCATCTAGGTTAGCTCAGCCATAACAATTTGCCCTTTCTAATAATAGTCAACGCGGATTGATGACTTTTTTCTGCTGATGTCATCCCTTTTAAGTATAAAATGCCATATTTAGCCTTTAAAAATGCCATCCCTTTTAAGTATAAAATGTCGTATTTAGGAAAAATTATTAAATATTCCGGGATACATACCCGGGACATACCAACCCTGAATGTTATAGCGGCCCACGTTACCCCGGATACCATACCCCAGGTATTTAATAATCTCCCCATATTTAGCCTTTAAAAAATTATAAGAACATATACACCGTAATTTTCTATTAAAAAAGAAATTGCACTCCAAAACCTCGTGCTTTGTGATTGTGAACATGGTTAACTCTTCTCTCTGAGTCTACATAATATACTGCTCACTCTATATATACATATATATCAATGTGTATTTATATAAACTGGTCACACTACCTGTCCCTCTCTTGATCTATATGTGTGTATATATATACACACACGCACATATATACACATAACAGACTTCAACAAAACAAAAACAAAAATACACACAACAGGAAGAAGGAAAATTGGGGGAAATCAAACTGGAGATGAGGTCATTCAATATACATAGATCCAATTGAATGACAATAGGTAAATCACCAACAAAATTGGAATGAAATTCTCTGTTTTAAACAAAAGCACAGGATTTTTAATGAGGTCTCTGATCCTAGAGTTGTCTCCGAACAACACGGCTCTGTCGAACCTCGCTAGACTCCGGATCCGGGCAGTGGTGAGCTTGGGGTAAAGAAGGGGCGTATGATTGGCGTCTATGTTGCGGCGGCGACGACGGTGATGACGACTATGGCCATCGCTGTGGTGGTGGAGATGGTGGATGTGGTTGTGGCTATGACTGCCGCGGTGGGCGGTGGTGAAGATGGTGGTTTTGTTATGGCCGTGGTGGTGGCTATGGCCGTCGCGGTAGTGGTGAAGATGGTGGCTCTGCTCTTACCTTCATCGTCTGCAAATTTAGGGCTCAAACCTGTTCTGCCACGTGCCTCCAATGTTTACCTCCACACAGTCACTGCCGGCGACTGCTCTTACGTATGCACGGATAGACTGAAAGCCCTTCACTTCACTACCATAGCCTGCTGACCACTTGCCCGTATTTATCTTCTTTATGCTCGATTTGGAGACTTTGTTTTGGTAAAAGTGTAGCAATTTAAAAATCAAGGAAAAAAAAAAACTTTTATGTTATATTTATAAAATATTAGAGGGTATTACAATAATTTAACAGGGAAAATTACTGGAATAAAATGCTGATCAGTTTGGACGGAGGTAAGTGTAATTTTTAAAAGGTTATGGATACCTTGTGTAATTAAGCCTAACCTGAAGGGAGGTAATTGATATTATCTTAATAAATTATTGGTTTAGTTGCCCTTTTTTTTTTTTTTTTTTTTTTTTTTTAGACAGTAAATCAAAAACCGAAATCTATAATTATCCAACTTATTTTTTTTCCCCTTTCTACCTTCTTCTATTATGGATTATCTTAAAACTGAACTAACAAAACTCTTTTAAATTTTTTAAAAACTTCTCTATTTAATAAATTATTGAGGTAGTTGCCTATTTATTTATTTATTTATTATTATTTTTTTTTGAACGATAAATCAAATATTCGAATCGATTATTAGTCAATTGGATTTACACTCACAACTCTGAGATTTGCTCTATTGGCAGTCAGATGAAAGTTGGTCACATTTTGAACAATCACACCCCCTGTTATAAATTGCAGCCAAACAGCTCCTAAAAAAGACGTTATTACCCTTTAATAAAATAATAATCCTTGATTAAAAATATGAGAGTATTTGAATGACACAAATACCCCTCTTTCTTCTCTTCCTTCACATAATGGTATTTTGTACATTTACAGACACACACACACACATATAAATATAATACGTCCGATCCCTACAGCCTCTGCCGGCATTTTCGGGGTTTGGTTCTCTTCGGCTCCGGCATGTTGGCATTCACACCTCGCCGGCTATTGCTTTCCACCTTTCCCGCCACTACATCGCCACCCATTTGGACCCACAACAATCTCAATTAAACGCATGACGATCTCAAAAACCACTCTCTCTCTTTAAATTGAAAATCATAAGCAAATCAAGACTGCAAGTATCATTTTGGCCTTTCAAATTTTGCAGGTGTATTAGATACAAACGTGTTTGACCCAACAAGATACCAAGAAGGTGAGAGCCATATTCCTTACACAAATGTCGCATTTGGAGGTGGACCAAGAATGTGCCCTGGAAAAGAGTTTGCGAGATTGGCAGTGCTCACTTCTGTGCACAATGTGGTGACCAAATTTAAGATGATTAATATGCTCAATTTGGTGGAACAGTTTTATGAATTTGTAATTTATGTTTGCCATAATGAAAACGGTGGTGGGGAGGGATTGTGGATGGGTGTGGTGTGGTGGGGGTGGTGACTGGGTCTGGTTTTAGAGAGAGAAAAGTTTAATTTTAGAGAAAAGAGAGGGGTCATGAAGAGGAAGAAAACCCTCTTAAAGGGGTAGTTTTGTAATTTTAGAATAATAATAATCACTTTTTCATTTAATATAAGATGAATTTTATCATTTCACAATCTAATTAACGTGTCGATCACGGGTATAGAATTAATCTGATAGCTTTTTATAGTTTAGGGGTTTTTTTATGATAGATAGGGGTTTATGCATACTTTTGATAATAGAGGGGGTTTAATGATTTGAACCATATAATTAACTTAATGTGGAACACTCCTCCTAAATTAATATAGTTTGTATATCTTGGAAGGTTGAAAGAGATTCCTATACTACCCATTTAAGTGCAAAAAAAAAACTCCTATAGTTTGAAAAGTGTGCAAATAACATTTTGCATGTTCAAATAACATTCCTATATTATGAAAAGTGAGCAAATAAGGGCTCCTGACACACAAAATAAAAATAAAAATAAAAATAAATGTGCGAGTCATGTGACCAAAAAAAATCTCTTTAATAACAACACTACCCTTTTGGACTTCCCAAACTACCCCAACTCATTTCTATATATAATACACTTATTTATATTATTTTTTCTCTATAAATGTTCTCAATATTTAATTAACATCGATAGACTTCACAAAAATAAATAAATAAAAATCAAGATTATATCAAAAATGGTGAAAACGATGTCGCATTTCTTCACCAAAGTCACTATTTCTTTGTTTTTAGGTTAGTTTGTAAGAAAAATTTTAACGTAAATAGAAACAGGGTTCCAATGCATAAATTTGATAAAGAAGAAAGACATACCCAATATAGAAACTATGTTTCAAGAGAACACTAAAGCGGAAATGTTCTTCAACTCTCTACCTTTACTGCGATACTGAACGATGGATTTCAGACCTTTCTATCGCATATTTATAGAAGGCTGGGACCGTTCCATAATCGTTGTGGGAGTAAAAGATATGTTGAATCCATTAACCAACACACCTCTTACGAACAAACGTGTTGGTTCCATCAACCTACACACCTCTGGATTACATATATATATGGGTGGGTAGGTGTATGTGTGTGTGTGTGTGTGTGTGTGTGACTGTTTATTCTAAAGGTGCAACCTTTCTTACATATATGGTCAATGATTAATATTTTTTAATTATTGTTTGATTATTATTTGCTTACATTCTCCCACTTAGTCTAACAATAATTAATTTCGATCACTTCAAGATCAAAATGATCATTGAGTGTACTACAGAAGTTAATCCATAAATCTATAAGGAACACCTCTACTATTCAATTTGGAGTACCTTCGAGTCTACTAATATGGGATTAAGGGCGTCATTATATCATCAATGATATACGACACCAATGGTCACTGATACTAACAAACTCAACTCCAACGTCACATATATTTTGCATGTGCATCTATTCAATACAATATTCATACCATGCATCGGTCCTGCAGTGTCTCAATAAGGACACATCGTGTCTCAAAACTGGACACTTA